TGGAAATTGTAATTTTTGATAAACCAAATTTGTATTTTACTCTTAATTTTTTTGATTAATAATCATTAAATAATGTTAGGAGCCGTTTACCTAAACACTTATCCGGTAAGCACTTACCGGTAAAATTCAACACTATCGCTTACTTACTGGGTAAGATTTTATTCATTAAAACACATCGTATGCAACAATTTATCCCGGTCAACGCTAACCATGGAAAAAGTCCTCGTCCTTACTTACCGGGTAAGACTCTCGATTCTTACCTTCGCTCTTACAGGGTAAGATTTTTAGTCCTTGTTATATACATCCGGTAAAATAAAGTGACTTGGTAAGCAATTAACCGGTAAACAGCACCTTAGTCAATTAAATTATTTATCAAATGAATTTTTTTTAAAAATGATTACAAAATAAATAAATCATATTAAAAGTCAACATAAATAAAGAGAGGTTGTTTGGAAGTTCACATGCATTAAATTAACATCTTATTTAAGTACCCTTGATATCGTGAAGGAAAAACCACAACGAAAATGGCTCAAATTCAAAGTAGGGAAGAAATAAAGGGTAGGTTGGTCATTTTATAATTAAATAAGAATTTAATACTATTCCATCTAAGATCTTGTCTTTTGGATTATTTCAGTCATACGATTTCTCAAACTTTTTGAATGATCGTTTACCAAATGTTTATCGGGTAATTATTAGAATACGGTTATTTGAATCATTTCTATATAAAAATTCTTGTTTTTGTTTTGATAACTGTAGATATTTAGGTCAATTTGTATGTACCTCGATCAAATTTACATGATCTAAACTTAACAGTCATAAAAAACCCATTGTCATTGGCAATGATTATCACTAGATTAACAATAACACTAACAATTTATGATGAGAAATATAGAAACTCGAAGAGAATGGATACAGTTCTGTATCCAACTCAGTATTATTTGCTATTCACCAATTTCATCACATCATTCGTCACACTAGCATGGTAACCGGTTAATGCTTCAATCAGTTATCCGGGTACTTAAATGTTTAAAACTTTACATTTTAGACACCAAAATGAAAGTTTTAAAAGTATCTTACTCAAAATATGAATCAAATTAAAGTACGTTACTTTTTCATGCAATTTATCCTGTTACAATATGATAACTTAGTACTAATAAATCTTGAATATTATAATTGAAAAGAAATATATAAATTATTACAAAATATGCTAAAAATCACAGGTTTTCTTTAATTGCTTTCTAGAAGCACACATAACCGTATCAAATAGATTATATGTTATTATAATAAACCTACACTCACATATATACATTATACATATACATATATATATATATAATATTATTGTAAATTAATTAAATATTATGAATTAATTTGGCAGGGTTCGAATTAATGGCGACATGAACCGGAGTAGCCGCTGCCTTGATAGATTTGGGGGAGCTCGTGAGTACAAAAAATGGGCAATGAAGTGCTGTTTATTTAAGTTAAAACATAATTTTAAATAAGATTCGAACAAATAATTTGTACTGAAATTGATGAAAATTGTGTTGGTTATATCATACAGGGGTTTTTATTGCACAGTTAAATTGATTATTCTTGATCAATTTAACTGAAAGAAAGGATTATGTGAATGGAAAAATGAATTGCAATACAATAATGTAAAGACCAACTTTTTTTTAGCACGAATCAGAAAATTAACTGCACAAATTAATATCATGGCTTTGACGTTGTGTTCTCGAAACCCTTTTGACCAAGAAATTGAAAGAAAATGAAGGGAAATAGGAGGAAAACAAAAAAAAAAAAAAACTCGTGTTCATGAAACTTTTTTAGGAAATAAAAAACAAAAGAAAAATAATCATGAGTTTCATTACACACGTGGGAGGAAAGGAGAGTAAATGCAAGAAAATAGAAGGAAAGAAATTAAAACCATTTAAAAATATTATTTAAATTACAAAACTATCTAACCTTTCTTTATAAATGATATATTTTTAAAGGGTATATTTGTAAAAATGACATCTTTCAACCACAAGGGTGGTGCCTGATTGATTTGAGTTTGACTCCAAAGGTCAAAAGTATCAGGAGGTCCCAAGTTTAAATCCAAGGAGAAATAAAAAAACCTCTTGTGGCCACGGAGGTTCAAATGCGGTTACTCCGGGCTATCTGCAAAGCAGATGGTCGTCCTGAGATTAATCAGCTCGCATAGCGGGTTGGATATCCAGGTTAATAAAAAAAACGATATCTTTCATTTTCTTTCTCTTCTGTTCAAGAACACACAAAATTATGATCGTAAATTTTTCTTTCTTTCCTTCATTTTATTTTGCTTTGGAAGAACACAAATAAATTTTTTTTTATCCCTTTCTTTTCCCTAAATTCAAGAACACAGCGTAAAGGTTTTAACGATACTTTTTTTTACTGTGAATCTTTAAGTCCCAAACTGTAGGATTTAATGCAAGTTACAAGATTGATTAATGATTACTAACAACGATAGCTGATAATGATGGATAAACACAAAGTCAATGTAGATAACAATGTAGCAGAGAGCGGCGATGCAAAGCAATACAAAAAGCAGCCACAATCTCACGATTTTAGCACGATCTGGTATATAATTGCTATTTAAAATTATTCCCTTTTTTTCCTTATTTTTTAAAAAAACCAACTTTTATTTAAAATGTATACGTTATAAAAATCTAATACATGCAAAAATGATACATTTAGGATCATTTATAACGAATCTATAAATTCAATGATAAAAAATGCTCCTAATTAAAGAGCATTTTTTTTCTATGAAAAAGTCTTTTCAAACAAAAACATTTTCAATCTTTACATACAGATTAATCTACACAATCAACTTTATCTATATACGACTTAACATAGAACCAACCAAAAAGTTCTTTATGTGTTTAGTGTCCAGACATGATAGGACATGACAAGACAACTGTTCAACGTTTGATAAGATAAAACTGGACAGAACAAAACAAGTAAAATGACCAATTTATCCCTGATGAGTTGCTTATTTTAATTAATTTATGTAATTTATTAAATTATAATAGAATAATTATTTTTTATAACAAAATATATCATTTGAAGTTTTCGTCAAAACAATTAAAATGACACCAAATAAAAAGTTTATGTAGTTTTCTATTTTTATTTTTATCTTTTTTCTACATTATTTATTATTATTATTATTATTATTATTATTATTATTATTATTATTATTATTATTATTATTATTATTATTATTATTATTGTTAATATATAATAAATTACATAAATTAATAAAAATATAGAAACCATATAAAAATAATATTTTGAGGACAGTAAAATGAAAGTTTAAAAAACATAAAATACAATAAATAAAGTTTAAAGAATGAATAAAATGTAAAAAAAAAGACTTATTTGATGTTTTAGAAAAGAAATAAGTATTATTTTGAAGTTATATTGGTAAAATATAAGTCTGTTCCACCTTGTTCCATGAGGATAGGGGTGGAACAGGCCTGTTCCACTTTGTTCCACATAAAATTCATGCCAAACATGAGACAATGATCCATGTCTTGTCTCTATACAGTATACCAAACGTACTATATATATATATATATTTATGTTGTCAACGTATTTTTTTCCCTTAATTTTAATTAACATGATTAAAATAAATAATTATAAATAAAACAAGCATTATTATAAAGAAAAATAAAATAAAAAACTTAAAGTTATTTAATAAAAATTAGTGTAATGACGAAAAATACGTACTTGATGAAGTACTATTTATTTTATAATACAATAATATAGGAATAGAATATATTTTAGCGGGGTGGGAAAATAATAACCGCTGACAAGAAAAAGGTTGTCGCGTGAAATGGTAAATTAAATCGGGTGTTGAAAGTGGTTGAAAACACTCAGACTCAACGGCACGTGAGTCGCCGACGCACTCCATACGTGAGAGACTTCCCTGAATTTTATATTTAAGGTTTTTATATCATTAATGCATGAAATACTTATTAAATAAACCACTTTTTATTATATCAGTAAGATTTTTTACCAAACAGTTATATATAATTGACTGATTAGATAAAATCCTTTGTCCTTGTCATTACTTACTCATTCGATAAGATACGTAGTACCAGATAAAAGCTTACCTAGCAAAACCGTCGATATTCCCTTTTTTTTTATTAATCTAGATATCCAACCTGTTATGCGAGCCGACTAATTTCAGGGTGACCACCCGCTTTGCGGGTGGCCCGGAGTCACCGCATTTGAACCTCCGTGGTCACAAAAGAATTTTTATTTCTCATTGGATTCGAATCTGGGACATTCAGACACTTTTGAACTTTGGAGTCCAAGCTCAAACCAATTAGGTACCACCCTTGTGTGGTTCCCTTATTTTGTTATTGTTCTCTCTCGATGTATATCTTATACAATATTACTTAGGGGCCGTTTACCAAACGCTTATCCGGGTAAACGCTTACCAAGTCATATTATTTTACCGGATGAATATGATAAGGACAAAAAATCTTACCCGGTAAGAGCGAGACAAGGAACAAGAGTCTTACCCAGTAAATGAAGACGACGACTCTTACCACGGTAAGAGCTTATCGGGTAGATTATTGCATACGGACTACGGTGTTGTTTTCATGGAGTAATATTATACTCGGTAAGTAAGTAATAGTGTTCAATTTTACCAGTAAACATTTATCGGATAAGTCTTTAATAAACGGACCCTTATTTAATGAAGCCAAGTCTGTAATTACATTTTGAACATTTGGAAAGTAGCTTTGAATTGCCGAGTGATAGAAAACCTAACCAGGGTTAGAGGGAATTAACCAAACTCTGCGTCGGCTGTTTCTCATTCTTCCTATTTATAGGACTCCTCTGTTCGCCATTTTCTTTGACAATTGACTCCTCATTCTTCTCTCTCCATCAATAAATTCTACACAGAGGAACAGTGACATCTACAACTCAAGATACAGAAAGAGACTGACGTCTTCGTGTCTCAAATTGAACCAACAATGGCGGGCTCTTTCACATTCTTCTTCCTCTGCTCTTTTCTACTTCTTGCTTCCCTCAATGCCGTTTCCAGGTAATCAATCCTGCGCAATGCAAATCATAGTTTTTCCCCCTGTATTTACTACTTTCCGATCATCGCGTTTTGTTTTTCTGGATCCGATTTACTTCAATTCAAGTGAAAATTCGGTATTATTTGGATTTGCTATCGTCAAATTTGATATCTGTAGTGTTGCTTTTAGCGCATCTTCGATAGTTCTAGAGAGAAAGTGAAATTGATTGATTGAAGTTTTGGTTGTTTCAGTGGAGAAGAGAAATATGAGTTGCAGAGCTTAGAAAATAACTCAACAATGGCGGACAGGTTAGTTACATTCATTTTAGGCAATCAATTTTTCGTTGGAGATCTTATGAATGAGTGAACTAATTAGGTTGATGATAAATTTGTGTTGTCGTCCATGATCGTTCAGATTGGATCTCTTATTTGGACGGTCTGGATCTTTCCATTTTAATTGTTATTTTATTTTTTTTCTTTCCGTACTTACAGTACGTCCGTGTCTATTCCTGTCATTTGCATGTTTGACAACATCGAATGCGACTGTTGATTGATTTTCGATTACATCCTGTATAAATAAAGTTGTCTGTATAGTTGTATAGAATATACAGAGTGGGAACTAGGAAGGTTTTTCTTGGGAGTGGTTTTTTTATAGACGGGAGAAGCGTGTTTTTTAAGTTGGAGAGACAGATTTGGAAAAAAGTGGCTTTTTGTATAAACCTTATATCAAGAAGCTTACTGAATAATTCATTTTTATATCATTAATCATTATCAAACAGTTATTTATAACTTAGTGAATAAGTTACGAGTTCAATAAGCTGGTAACAAACAGACCCAAAGAACTACAATTGCTTCCAATTTAGTTTTGAGGTACAAGATAGGAATTTGCGCTTGAACTATATGATTATATACAAGTCGATGTGGGTTCAATGCACCATCTATGTTGTTAAATTCATGCATACCTACTAATTTTTTCTCATATATATTAGCATCAAAACTTATATTTTATATTTTTAATACATGATTTGATTTGATTTTGACATAAAATGGATACAGCCAACACCAGTAGAAATTTAATGTATTTCTAAGCAAAATTTTGATCATTTCGGGATTGATGCTTCGTTTTCGATGCTAAACCTGAATTCAATTTCAGGGCAATCGAAAACAGAGGTATCGAAAGGAATGATGATGCTGTTGACGATCCAGACATGGTGGCTTCCATGGTTGATATGTGAGTCTCTTTCTCTTTGTTTGTTTCTCTCCTCTCAGGAATCGCATAAGATTTATTCCCTTCTGAGTTCCCGAGGTTCATGTGTTCAGACAAAAAAATAAATTAGTCTTATAAAAATTGCGTAAAAACACTTGCTATTATTTATATATATAACAATAAAAACGTACACAGTAAGAGACATTTTACTAAATGCTGATCAAGAATCTTACCCGGTAAAATGTATGATAACAATCGAGGTTTTTACTCGGTTAACACTTACCGACAAAAGACGCTGACAAATAATATATATTTTCATGACCGAGGATATTACCGAACAAGGTAAGTGAAGGTGGTGATTTTTGTAGGTAAGAGCTTACCCGATAAGCATTTGATAAACGATCCCTACCATTAATTTAACGACCGGGCACAATGGTCAATCTTTAACAACCTCGTGTAAATTGAAATCTTCTAATGCAAACCTCTCTGATAAATGCTTACACTTTATACTTTTATATTCACAAATTAAATAAATAACTATAAGAGTACAAATTGTAAGTATTAAAAATAATTTGTACGTATTTATGATATTTAATAGTATGATTAAATATAAAAAATATTCAATATTAAACTCATTTTGAAGGTACTGACAAAACGATATAATAGTGTAATTTATATATAAAAAAACGTATTTTTTACGTATTTTAATTAATATATGATATGTATGTTTATATAATAAAAATATAAAAGAAAAAAGTAAGAAATATAAAGTAAATTAAATAACTAATTATAAAGCTATAGAATATAATTAAATACTCGCTAATTTATCTAAACCATATCTTTTTTGTTTTAATTAGAAAAATGTGGTTTATATAAATATGTAAAGTATCAGCTATTTTGAGAACTATATTTAAAAAAGTGGATACAAAGTAAATTGAAAAAAAACAAAATTGCTTATTTTTGTCGATTTTCGAATTTGAGTTTGCATCTGTACAAGTTATTAATAACACATGATAGGCGGGCCATAATTGAAAATTCTACCTTCCTAATTTTTGGTCACTTTCACTCACAGGTGAACCGATAGGATTGTACCCATTGCTATAACTAAGGATCCTCATTAAGCATTTACCAAATGGCTCTTTTAGTGGTAGAACGTGACCTTATATGGTTAGCTTAACTGAAAATAAAATCAAAATCAAAAGTAATCATCTGATATTTTTCAAGCTGTTCTCCCACATTTTTGAGATTGGTCGAAGTACATATAAGCTTACTCATACAATCATATTTAATCATAATTGCATTTAAGTTGCCACTTGTTTAATTAATTGGTTTACACAGAAAAGCACTGGATTTTGATATCCTCTTCACGTGATACCTTATTCAGCCAAACACTCTGCATGCATGTCATTAAATTTTGATCCATTCTCTCACCACACCGGTTTAATTAGGCCCCACTAAAATGAACCCAGGTCTGGCCCTGGTCGTCAACAAGTAGCAGATCTGGTTTCACATCCCTCCCTGCAAACTCCCGTGGGACGTGTTTCTTACTTACAAACTCATGTCCATATTTAATCACCTTTCCAATTTATGTTTTTAAACACTTCTTCACCCCCACCGACGCTACATACATACATACATCAATTATTATAATTGTCATTGTCATTATCATTATCATTTCCCTTCGCATTTATTCCCCACCAACAAAATCATGTAGCTTTCGGTACACATCGTTTTTGAACTCTTCAGATTCACTTCACTGTCGTTTTTCTACAAAATTCACCAAAGTAATCAAGATTTTACAAGTAACAGTTTAGCAACTTACGGAATCCACCTTTTATGAATGTAACAATAAAAATTGCGATTTCATAAGTTGTTGGAGTGCAAGTTGCGAAATGCTGATATGGAAATGCCACTTATGTAACTTGTTAAAACTGTTAAATTGTTACTTACCCAACTTGTTAAAGTGTTACTTGTCACGTCAGCATTTCGTAAATAATACTTATGTATTAAATTCATAAAACTAGATTTTTACAAGTTGCTAAAAAGTGCTCCTTCAAAATTTTGGCACTTTCGTTCAATTTTGAGTATAAAATGAATCAAGGGTCCGGACTTTGCAATGGCTTTTTTGGACAATTTCACCCCTCATTTTACATCTAGTACTATTAGTTTTTACCTAATCTTAGAAATGTATAATTACTACATGTTCTAAATAACCATAAATAATATAACAAGTAATAAATTTTCGCATCTCATTCTTGTACGTATAATCGAAAAAATACACATTGTAAAAGTGGACACTTATTTTCTAACAAATTAAAAAAAAATGTGAATACTGGTCAAATGTTGAATGATTTACCAGGAGTGTACAAAATGTCATCTAATCGAATTTAAACCAACCAATTCAATTAGATACGTCTGATCATAATCAGATATCCAATTATAATCGGATCAAATCGGAGGAGGAATTCTTGGTCAACCATCCTGATATTTCAACATCCGAATTGAATCGGTCAGTTCTTGAATGACAACCCAGTATCCAATAAAACCAAACCGATCCGAACCAACCAATTAATAACTATATATAATTATTAATATTTTATAATATTGTTTTTTTAGTTGATATTTATATGCATGTGTTTTTTAATACTTAGAAAATATATGAATAACTGGTTGGAAATTGAATCAAAATATTGGATGAATTCAATCAAGATTCAATGCATAATCAATAGTAATATCCAATGAAGGGAGCCGATTTTGATCCAATCATCCATTGAATTGGATTGGATGACAAAATCGATCATCCAATGAATGATTAGATCGGATTAAATCAGGTCCGCCTAAATCAGTTGGATTTCAACCGAATAACTAACCTAGAAAACCCTGAATACTTGTTCTGTATTACCTATAAGAAGAAATGAGTTTTTAAACAACAAAGGTGATTTTGAAAAATATGCAGGAGTATTCGTAACAGCACAGAGAGGAGGAAGTTGGGTTTCTTTTCATGCGGCACTGGAAATCCAATTGATGATTGCTGGCGTTGCGACCACAGTTGGCAACGCCATCGCAAGCGCCTGGCTGATTGCGCTATTGGTTTCGGACGCAATGCTGTCGGTGGTCGTGACGGTCGGTACTACATCGTAACCAACCCTAACGATGATGATGCCGTAAACCCACGACCAGGAACTCTAAGACACGCAGTCATCCAAGACAAACCTTTGTGGATTGTCTTCAAACGAGACATGGTTATTACCTTAAAACAAGAACTAATCATGAACAGTTTCAAAACAATCGATGCTCGTGGAGTTAATGTCCATATCGCAAACGGAGCTTGCATCACGATCCAATACGTTACCAATATCATAATCCATGGTCTGCATATTCATGACTGCAAGCAAACAGGCAATGCCATGGTTCGAAGCTCCCCGTCTCACTACGGTTGGCGAACGATTGCAGATGGCGACGGCATTTCGATCTTTGGAGCAAGCCATATTTGGATAGACCACAATTCTCTATCTAACTGTGCTGATGGCTTAATTGATGCCATCATGGGTTCAACTGCTATTACCATCTCTAATAATTTGTTCACCCATCACAATGAGGTATTATTAACTTGAAGGGAAGTTCGGGGAAAAAAAATGAAAAACTGATGAACACTCCAGTAACAATTCATCTTCATTTGTTAAAGATATGCACAATGTGCATACAAGTAATTGAAGTTGTTTCTTGGTTTCTATGCACGTGTGCATTGTATGCACATACCGGACAAATTCCTTATGTATGCACATGCCACACGTCCTGTTACCAAGAGTGTTCCTCAGTTTTTCATTTTTTTTGTTTTCCCGTGAACCTGACCCTGTTAACTTCAAAACAATTTCATCCATTTACATGAATTAAAATCACATACTTCCCTAATTTCCTTTTCGGGTTCTCAGGTGATGTTACTAGGTCATAGCGACTCGTACGTTCGAGACAAGGTTATGCAGGTGACGGTTGCATACAACCATTTCGGAGAGGGTCTCGTTCAGAGAATGCCAAGGTACATACAACCATCTCTCTCTAACAGATTCTCATATTTTTAAAAATGGAGAAGCAAAAGTTGAAAGTGCACAAAATATAGCTGATTAATGGAATGAGTTGCTTGTATATGCAGGTGTAGACATGGGTATTTCCATGTTGTAAATAATGACTATACACACTGGGAAATGTATGCTATTGGTGGCAGTGCAGACCCCACAATCAACAGCCAAGGCAACAGATACCTTGCTCCTGCTAACCCTAATGCCAAAGAGGTATTCTTCACTCTTTATTTATATATATATATATATATATATATATATATATATATATATATTAGGAGAAATGGTCCAAGTTTAGTCGTATGGAATTCCATCATGCCCCCTTCAATGGAGGCTATATGGATATCAATTGTCCCATTACATCCATGCCCCCTTCAATGGAGGCTATATGGATATCAATTGTCCCATTACATCGAGAGGGGTAAACCAGAGTGGTGGGTCCCTAGGGTGGGAGATCTTTGCTCTGATACCATATGAAAATACGTGGAACCTCCTTTATCACTCTGCGAAAAAGCTTTTAAGGAGAAAGTTATGTAGAATAAATAGTCCAAGTTTAGTCGATATGGGACTCCAATACGCCCCCTCCAATGGAGACTAGATGGACACAGATTGTCCCGAGTGTCAAGAAGGGCTAGCCAGAGTGTCGTATTCATAGAGTGACAGACTTTGTCTTTGATACCAGAACCCCCGTATCACTCTCCAAAAGAGCACTTGAGGAGAAAGGGGAGGTTCCAACATATACGTAGGAGAAATAGTCCAAGTCTACCAATGTGGGATTTCAACACGCCCCCTCCAATGGAGGCTAGATGAACACAGATTGTTCGAGTGTCGAGAGAGGGCTAACCAGAGAATGCCAGGTCCCTAGATTGACATACTTTGGCTCTGAAACCATTTGAAAATATATGAAACCCACATTTCACTCCCCAAAAGAGCCAAGTCTAGCTGATGTGGGACTCCAACATCTACAATATTTTCCCCTAACATATCTAAACAAATATATCGAAAACATATTCTCCATCACAAAACAAATGAAATTAACATGTAATTACGAAACAAAAACAGGTGACAAAGAGAGTATTAACAAGCGGGAGGTGGAAGAACTGGAACTGGAGATCATCAGGAGACCTGATGTTAAATGGTGCATATTTCACACCATCAGGTGCAGGAGCAGGAGGCAGTTATGCAAAAGCTTCAAGCTTAAGCGCTAAACCATCGTCTGTGGTCGGATCTCTTACCTCTGGTGCCGGTGCACTCTTCTGCCGTCGAGGTAGACAGTGTTAAATCAAAATCTTTAAAATCAAAGGTAACATATATTTTCCTTTGGAAATAATCTCATTTTTATAGCATTGTTGGCCGCATAGAATTAAATATGCATCGAGTAGTGAGTGTACATTTCTCTTCTACTTCCTATCGCTCAAAGTTCAACCTCGACCTGCTTCCGTGGAGCAGGTGCAGAAGCGTTGTTCTCCGCTCTCATCTCCAAAATAAAGGGAAATTGACAGAAATAGCCGATCAGCAAATAGAGTTTCATTTTTTAGCCATTTTCTAACCCAAATTCACTTTTTATCCAATCCTTATGTAGTGGAATCTCTATGCAAAAACCTTAGGCATATGCGTGAGGATTCTTGTTTTTCTTTTTGTCGAAAACCAATCCTTACACTTTCTACGTAAGGATCGGCTAAAAAGTGAATTTGGGTCAGAAAAAGGGGTAAAGAATGAAACCACCTATTAACTTTTAGGTATTTTTGTTAATTTCCCCAAAATAAACCATCATCTTCATACCAAGTCTGTAAATGTAGGTAGTTGTTTACACATGATTCTCATGATAGAGGGTAAGTAAACAGCAATTAAGTGTGTGTTTTTTAGTGAGTGTCTTTTGTAATCCCTTGTTATTTGGAGGGAAATGTACGGATCCAATTATATACACAACGATTGATTAATACGCGGAAATCTGGAACCGAACCAAGTGATTTGTATATCGAATATGAACAACATAGAAGCCTTATCCCCTTCAATATGTGCCATTTGCAACAATTTCATCGACTACAGATGGGATACTAAACTGAAAAATGTTGAATCAAGAAACTTACCTCCGTACAGTTGTAATATTTGTCGATTTCCGTGGGTCTTCCTTTTGAATATTCTGTTCAAGATGACCGTCAACACTATTCTTGTTACCTAAGTAACGTACTGTGACTTGGTAAGTGCTTATCTAAGTAAGCATTTGGTAAACAACCATAAAGTTAATTCTCAAAATTTAGACAAACCCCGATAAATTTTTGTAAAAACGATTTCAGTGATTGAACAAAACTAAAACATTTATTATCATTAAGGGGTTGTTTACCCAAACAATTACCAAGTAAGCAATTACGGTAAAATTAACACTGTCACTTGCTATCCGCTAAGATTTTGGTCCATCAAAACGGCATTGGATGCATCAATTTACCCGGTAAACGCTAATCGTGGTAAGAGTCACCCTCTTCACGTCTCGATCCTTGCCATCGCTTTTACCGGGTAAGATTCTTGGTCCTTTCTATATTCCTCCAGTAAAACAACATGACTTGGTAAACACTTACCACGTAAGGTAAGCAGGGACGTAGCCAAAATTCTAATATAGGGGCCTCAGCACCAACCATCTTCCTACCGACTCCGTCAATACTATTTAAATATTTGATAAACAACCTCTTAGATTAACCTGTTTAAGCACCTTAAATCGTTCTATAAATCTAGGAACATTTCTAGAAAACAAATGATGCCCAAAATCAAGACTCGGCATACTCTTACATGTAGAATTGGGTAATCCGGGTTTCCCGGTTAACCGGATGAGAAATTGCCATGAACCCGCAAAGACATAAGCATTTGTGAGACATATTGAGAGAGATAGAGTGAATTATGTTTTTGATCCATCATGTAGCCCAAATGTTTTCTTAAAAATATGGACCTGGGCCTCAAGTAAGTTTTAGAAAAAAAAAAATGTTCAATATACATTATACAGTACTATTTAATTAATAATATTATTCAATACAACAAATTTAATTAAAAAATAATTTTTTAAAAAATGTTAAATTGTATGATTATTATATTATATTCATATGATTATATATATATATATATATATATATATATATACACACACATATGTACATACATACATACATCTCTCTGCAAATCGAAACAAACTTGGAATGGAAGAATACGGAGGAAGAATCACTTAAAGTTACCCATAGAAGAATGCAATCTGAATCATATAGATGCTCGCAAGGAATTTCAATTAATTCAATGGGTATTTGCAAACAGTTCAATGGGATTCAGGATATGAATTTCTTGAATTTCAATCATCGAAAGTGCTTCAATGGCGGTCTTTGACGTTGGTAGATTCTGATTCATTCTCCTTAGCTCATTCGCTTCAATTTGAGTCAATTGAATCAATAATCCTTCAAAACCAGAACCCAACCAAAACTTCGACCATACTCAACGGTAATGGCCTTCAAACCAAACCCAGCTCCATCCTCGTAATACAACTCAAACCCGCCACCGTTGCTAGTGTGTCCTTGGAGGACGATGACGGGGTTAAACGACAACCTATGACTTGTTTTTTTAGCAAACTGAGCACTAGCGAGATAGGACTCAGTCTTGAGCTTTGTTGCTCGTCCCTGACCATATACATAGCCACATCAGGAAAATGTCTCGGACGAAACTCTGAGAGCGTGGTTTCCAGTAACTGGGTGGGCTTCTCGATTTCCTCTATGAAACCACCGTTGCCCAAGAGTCACAACGCTACTAAACATATGCATTTGTCGAAATTGCAGTTAATCTTTTCATGTGATTTTGTTCCATACTTGGCAATCTCATAAGTAGCATCTATCACACCGACTTTTGATGGATTATTTCTAGATTCCAAAGCTTGGCTTCCCCTGATACATTATGTGCCTTCTAATGATTCTCAAGTAATTAGGTCCTCCAAGATGTCATACCCAACAAATTAGTCCTTTTTTTTGCGATTAATTGCCAACTCATACACAAAGATCAGACACATATTATATATATATACCCTATATATATATATATTATATATATATATATATATTATATTTAAGTATAAAATTTTAAAATACAATATAAAAAAGACAATATTACCCCTGATTTAACGTACCACTAGTTAGTGGAGTTAGGGTAAGAGACCCAATTTGTAACAAAATTGAAACCATGGTGACCATACATGTGATTATTTCTTCCGAGGGACTCAATCCAAAATTTTCAATAACCATATAGACGAAATTTGTAATTAATTATGTAGAATCATTTTAAAAAGAATATAGTTACCGATTTCGAGCTCATACAATCCACAAGAAAATGTATAGATCGTTCTTCTTATATAACAAATCCTTCTTTATGTTTATTCATTGCTAATATAACTTTTTTTATATACTTCTTACAAACAAATCATCGTTTTCAAAAAAGGACAAAAAGACGTGTATTTCATTAAGATTAACGATTTCAGTTAAATAATATTATAGACGAAATTTATCCGAGATTATACATTTTCGTCAAATATTCTCTTTTCTTCAAAATTTGGAGAATTCTTTTTTCTCTCCCTTGTAATTCTCTATTTTAAAGAAGAATTTTAGTATAGTTGTTGGAGCAAAATTCCAGTGAATCTTCCAAAATTTTAAAATAGTAGCTGTAATTGAAATAGACATTTTCGACTTGTGTTTCACCTCTTAAACATTTATCTCCTTAAATCACTAAAATGTCACTAAGTCCGTAAGTGACAGATCCGCAATTTGCAAAAGGGGTCAAAGTGTAAAAAAAAAGTTTCTGAATCAGGTTCGTAAGTATAGGGACCAAAATTGTAAAATTGATATAGGTTCACAAGTCCATCCTGTTGTGGCGAATTACATATTTGGTTCCTACACTTGCAGACCTGGTTCATAACTTTTTTTACACTTTAACGTCTCCACGAATTGCGGATCTGCCACTTGCGGATCTAGTAACATCTTGGTGATTTTGGCAGAGAAAATACTAAAAGATGAAAACAACATATGAAAATGACTATTTTAATTAATTTCTCCTTAGGGTATGTTTGGTATTAGAACAGGACATGACATGACAGGATAAAACAAGACTGGACTAAACAGAACATGACTGGACAAAATAGTTATTCAACATTTGGTTAGTCAGAATTGGAAAATATACTACAGATAAAAGAACAAAATTTATCGCTAATGAGATGTTATATACTTTAATTAATTTATGTAATTTATTAAATTATAATAAAATGAATATTTTTGTAATAAAATATATCATTAGAAAATTTTCATCAAGACGATTAAATCGACAACAAAATAAAAAGTTTATGTAGTTTCAAAATTTTACTTTACACCTTTTCTATATTGTTAATATTTAATAAATTACATAATTTAATCAAAATATAAAAATTATATAAAACTAATATTTGAAAAAATAGTAAAGTGAAAGTTAAAAAATGAATAAAATATAAAGAGGGGAGTGTGTTTGATGTTTTAGAAACGAGAGACTATTTGACAATTGCTGAATGGTTTGGTGCAAAATTATTAAGTGGTCAAAATGATTAAGAGACTCTCATGATATAATGCAAAATGAAATATAATTGTTTGGTAATTGTGTACGATGAAATTAGGGCTCTTAATGGTTAAGGGAGATCCATGATACAAATCATTCAGAGGGTTTTAGAACCATTAAGAGGCATATTTTTTTTTTGTCAAACAAAATTCACCTCTTAACGATTCAGAAGTTGCCTTTTAATGGAACTATTAAAAGGTAAACAAACAAACTTTGAGTTAGTTTTATTTTGAGTTTATGTTAGTAAAACATAAGTCTTGTTTTAACTTGTTCCATGGGGTTAGAGTGGAACATGTCTGTTCCACTTTATGACGTTCTGTTTCTATCTATTCCAGATAAAAGTTCTATCAAGTATAAAACATTAATCTCTGTTTTATTCTACCATGTTACGTTAACAAAACATAATTTTGATATAATAAAAAGAAAGAGCCTGGAACTGAAAGTGACGTCAACGCATAGGGTTTGGAAGGTGTAGACCATGCCAAAGCTACTGATCATTGCCATTTTCTCTTTTTTTTTTCTTTTTTTATTAATGAATTTTAAAAACCATTCTTCTATTTTCGATTAAAATCGTAAGAAAATACTCGTTTTTAATAACGGAAAATGAGGGAAATGGGTGGAAGTTAACACGATACAAAATTTGGTAAAATATCAAGAAGATCGGTTTTTTATTTTCGAAA